GAGGTCCAAAATTTAAGCATTTGGGAAATTCAGCATTTGGTGAGGTTTCTCTGCTTCTAAGAACCACCCATGAGACAAGCCTCTGGCAGGCCTGTGAGCGATTTCGATTAGGTTAGCTCAAGTGGAAAGACCCACCCTCAATGTGGGCAAGCACTTTCCAGTGGCCCGCACATAAAGAGGGCTGAGGGAAAATCTTTGGCTTTTTGCCGGCTTGCCTTTGCTGCTGAGTGCTGCTGCCCAGAGTACTGCCACACTGCCACCATCCGTCAGTGATAGCAAAACCTAATTTCTCAAGCCTTCTAACATGAACCGAAGACCAGCAACTCTCTAGGTATCCTCCAGGCAGACTGGGAACTGCTTAGTCATCTAGTTTCAGGAACGGAGCAGCTACCAGGTTCCTGAACTCTCCTGTGTGAACACAGCCACTGCTGGACTACTCAGACCATATCATGTCAGCCAATTTTAATAAATTCCCTTAATTCCCTTTATAAACAACCCCCCCAATCTCTCGGTTCCATTCCACTAGAGAATCCTGTTTAATATATAGCTAAGGATGACCTTAAAATCTTGGTCCTCCAGTCTCTCTACTTCCCAAGTGCTGGATTATAGGACACATTACCAGACCTGGTAGGTATGATTTTTTTTGAGACAGGGTCTCACTGTATATCCCTGGTTGACCTCAAAACTCACAGAGATCCATCTACCTCTGCCTCACAAGTGCTGGGATTAAAGGTGTGCACCACCATGTCCACCTCAGGCTATGAATTTTTTCAAGAACACATACATGGCCGGGCGGTAGTGGCGCACGCCTTTAATCCCAGCACTCGGGAGGCAGAGCCAGGAGGATCTCTGTGAGTTCGAGGCCAGCCTGGGCTACCAAGTGAGTTCCAGGAAAAAAAAAAAAAAAAGAACACATACATATTCAGACCATAGAGGTAGGCACAAGGAAACTTTGAACTTCAGGCTTGAACTGAATCTTCAAGGTCACAGTAAATAAAAAAAAAAAAAAGTAGAAACTAAAGGGGTGTTATAATTGCCACATGTGATTCTAGTCTGGATCAGGAACTGAAACAAACCAATTATTCTATGAGATATTACCAAGAAAATTGGCAAAATCTGATCATGGATTATATACTAGTTATGATGTTAATGTCTTGATTTTGAGGTTGTGGTAAAAGAAAGTAGCCAGGGAATACACAGCAGGTATGGTAACACACGCCTGTGACCCCACCTCTCAACAGCTGAAAGCAGGATCAGGAGTTATACAGTGTGTTCTAGAGGGAAAAAGAAGGACTGACTGATTCTTGGTGGGATCGACATAAAGGATATATGGGGGTGTAGGGGAACTTTTTTTTTTTTTTTGGCTTTCTTGGGACTGTAAAGAGTATTCCAACTTTGCTATAAGTTTAAAATGATTTCAAAATGAAAACTTTTTTTTTTTTTTTTTTTTGGTTTTTCGAGACAGGGTTTCTCTGTGTAGCTTTGTGCCTTTTCCTGGAACTTCACTTGGTAGCCCAGGCTGGCCTCGAACTCACAGAGATCCGCCTGGCTCTGCCTCCCGAGTGCTGGGATTAAAGGCGTGCGCCACCACCGCCCGGCCCAAAATGAAAACTTTTAAAGAACAACTTAATGCACTGGTACTGACTTGCAAGCTGTGTTGGTTTGTGGTCACTCGTGTCAAGCAGGATTCCGAAGGCCCGTGACCAAGAAGCTCACAAGAGTGTGGGATGGTACATTCGAGACTAGGAGAAGCTATGGCTCTTTGTGTTTGCTTGTCGCTTCCCATCACTTTCTTGTGAAGGATGATGGGAGCTCACCAGCCATGTTCATGCTGGGGGTGTTTGGTTGAGTGCCACAACAGACCACCTTCTGGTGGGAGCCCACATGAAAGGATGGGGAAGAAGGAAACTCTGGCTTGTTGCCCTCGCTCTTGCTGGCAAGTTTGACTCTCCTGTTGCTGCTGGTTTAAATCCAATGTCTTGAGGATTCCAATATAGACTAAAGATCAGCAGCTCTCCAGGAAATCGTCCAGGCCTCCAGCACCAAACTGAGACTCCTGAGACATCCAATCTTACGAGCTGAACCTTCTTACCATGAGACAACCAATGCTGGACTACTCGGATAACATCCTGCAAGCCAGTCTAACAAACCCCCTTTTAATACATATTCCTTCTATCAGTTCTTTCCTTTAGCGAACCCTGACCAACGCACTCAGCCGGTCAAGGTCAGGTGTCTCTCACTCTGTCTGGCTACACTATGTATTTCAAACTGTATTTATGAAGTAGCTGAGATGTAAATACACACTGAGGGGTCCCTGCAGGTGTCACAGCAGACAGGGAGATGAACTATGAGGAGGTAAGAATGAAAACTCGGTTCAGGCTGACTTCTCAACCTCGATCAAACTGCTAGAGAGTTTGATGCCAGAAGGCTTATGGCCAGCATACTTAAACACATTAGAATCTGAAAAAAACAAACAAACAAACAACTTTCCTGGGATAACACAATCCCCAGTGCACAAGGAGGCATAATTACATCAAAACTTAACTCAAAGTACATGTCATTTCTTCCAAGAAGATGAGCTCTCGAGATAGGCTACCTGTACTAGCTTAAGGACCGAGGGAAGGGTCTTATGGTGATATTTTATTTGTATTAAAATGTTATTTGTATGTTAATAAATAAAGTTGCCCGGGGGTCAGAGCTATTAGCAAGCCATAGGAAAGCAGGGCAGTGGTGGCATACGCTTGTAATCCCAGCACTTGGTAGGCAGAGCTGGGTAGGTCTCTGTGTGTTCAGGGATACAGCCATTATTGGATACACATGCCTTTAATCTCAATACCAATCATGGAAAACCTGGAGGCCTATACAGACAGGCCGTGAGGAGGCGGTCATGTGGTTGGGTTTACAACCAATGAGAAGGCAGGACAGGAACTCTATATAAAGACTTTAACACAGGGGTAGCTCTGGTTCGGAGAGGTAGGCCCACTGCAGGAGGAAGGGTAAGGTTTTAGCTCTTAGCTCTGACCTCTTGGCTTTCTTCTTTGCATTGGTTCTGTGTTTCTTACTTAATGAGACGGTTGGTTACATCGACAGGGTCTGGTCTGGTCTTGGTCACACAGATATCGTAGAGGTCATTTGGGCTGTTAGCTATTTCAGGTCCTGGTTGTAGGGTCCTGGCTGTACAAATAATGGAAGGGTCATTCCGACTAGTAAGGGTCGTTGAGACTATTAGGTATCAAATAATGGAAAGGTTATTTAGACTATTAGGTATCTCTGGTCCTGCTGGTGGGAGCCCCTAGCTATAGGGGTAATATAAGGGTCATTTAGATTACTAGCCACCTCTGGTCCTGGTTGTAGCAGCTTGATATGGCCTGGTCCAACAAATAACGCAGATCACCAGGCTATTGATCACCTCCATTTCCCAGCCTTCTGGAAAAACAGATTATATGTCTTTCCCTTTGAAAGGACAACCCTGGATGCTTAACATTCCTGGTTTCCATGGAGATCTGTAGGTGCAAGGACCTTCATGTTCCCAACAATAGAAAAACAACATTTATTTTTCAGGTTACTTGTTTGTAAATCACCACAGAAGATATTAGTATTTTAATGCATATCCAATTACTTTTCAACAATTGCCATTTAAAAAAATTAAGATGTATTTTATGTGTTTATGTGTATGAGTGTCTTGCCTACATGTATATATGTGCAACATATGTGTGCCTTGTGTCCTTGAAGGTCAGAAGAGGGCTTAGATCCCCTGGAACTGGAGTTACAGACGGTCACAAGAAGCTATGTGGGTGCCGGGAATTGAACCCACGTCCTCCGCAAGAGCAACAAGTGCTCTTAACCACTGAGCCATCTCCCTAGCCCAACAATTGCTATTTTTACTAGACAAAGTAAAATCATTGAGAAAATAACCAGTAAGTTTGTCATTTTCAGTGGGACTGGAGAGGTGGTTCAGTGGTTAAGAGTGCCTGCCACTCTTCCAGAAGACCTAAGTTCAGTTCCCAAACACCTACATATGGTGGCTCACAACCACCCATAACTCCAGCTCCAGGGGATCAGACACTCTCTTCTGGTCTCCGGAGGCCCAACACACCATAGGCACACATATACACATACACACATATGCATAAAATAAGTCTTTAAAGAATTTTCATTAAGAGACGTCAAACATTTGTTATGGAAAGCTGTTGGAAATAGGGTGTCCATATACTACCAAAGTGCCTCCTAAGATTATCTGTTAATTAATGAAGGGGAAAACAACCTTTATAATGGAGAAATTGTCAGACAACTTCATAATCAATCAAGTACCCAGCTTACTACAATGACGGAACGAAGTGACACCAGATACCTCCGTGGTGAGGTACTAAAGACAATATAACTGGTGCTCTTGTTCTATAAATACAAAAAACAATGTTTCCAAACTAAGGATGCTCTGAAAAGCCAATGGGTTGGACTCTTCAATAATATCAACGTTACAGAAGCAAAAACAGGGAGTGGATGGGAAACTGTCCTAGATTAAAGGAGATTGACCAACCCCAAGTGTAAATCAACTGTGAACTTCGACTGGATTTTGAATTTGTCCTAACAAGAATGAGAGAAACAAAACCAAAGGCAGTCATCAAGTTCTAACACTTAAATATGTATTGGTGGCCGGGCGGTGGTGGTGCATGACTTTAATCCCAGCACTCGGGAGGCAGAGCCAGACAGATTTCTGTGAGTTCGAGGCCAGCCTGGGCTACCAAGCGTGTTCCAGGAAAGGCGCAAAGCTACACAGGGAAACCCTGTTTCAAAAAAAAAAAAAAAAAAAAAAAACCCTAAATAAATAAACAAATAAATAAATTTTTTTTTTTTTTTGGTTTTTTCGAGACAGGGTTTCTCTGTGTAGCTTTGCGCCTTTCCTGGAATTCGCTTTGGAGACCAGGCTGGCCTCGAACTCACAGAGATCCACCTGCCTCTGCCTCCCGAGTGCTGGGATTAAAGGCGTGCGCCACCACCGCCCGGCCAAATAAATAAATATGTATTAGCTATTAGCTAACAGTACTGTATAGAGACCTGAGTATTTATGAGTGGATGATGGTACTGTGGCCAGGCAGGCAAATATCTTTGTTCTAAGAGACAGATGCTAGAACATTTAGGGGTGAAATGGCACTGTCTTCAAATTACTAAAGACTGAATTTCTATATCTAGTTGAGAAATCAAATTGCCATGGAGTTAGAGGCCAGAGGAAACAAGTAACAGTCTCTTCTACAACAGTTGAGGAGAAGAGGCTGGGTCATCGCTGCTCTGGGTAGCTCCGAGAGCCCTCAGTGCCGGTGTTTGCATGGGTTCGGGTATAGGAAGAGCCATGGCCTACATCCAGTCTGTCTACCCAGAGATCATCCACAAGGGCACATGTGCACAGGTGTAAGCCACGTCCTTCCATGCCAATAGTCCTGCGTCAGCTGAGCATGGCAGCAGTGCATCAGCAGCACGTGGGACCCTGTGTGCTTTACGGCAGAGGCCCGAAAGCTGTTGTTGCTGTGTCAGGGTCAGCTACGAGGTCGGTGTTCGGTGCTCCATTGGTGGCTGGCAGCTTGGCCTAGGCACTTCTCTGACTGAGGCGACCATGGCGGGGGTCACAGCGCTAATGCGGAAAACTCAAGACTATGTGAAGACCAAGGAGTTCCGGGATTACATAACCAGCACCCACTTCTGGGGTCCTGTGGCCAACTGGGGCCTTCCACTGGCCGCTTTCAAGGATATGAAGGCGGCTCCTGACATCATCAGCAGCCGCATGACCACGGCGCTCATCTTCTACTCCATGGCTTTCATGCGCTTTGCCTACCGGGTCCAGCCTCAAAATTACCTGCTGATGGCATGCCATCTCACCAACATGGTGGCGCAGAGCATTCAGGAGAGCCGTTACCTTAAGTACCACTATGGTGGTGGCGCCAAGGCCAGCAACCCTCCGGTCAAATAAGCTTGATGACTAGGGGATGGGAGAGGTAGCCTGGACTCTATTCCTCCTAAAGAAAGGTCAAGGAAAACTTTGGTTTGGACTCTAAAACAGTGCAAACCCGATTTAAACCTGTAGTTTGGCTCATTAAAAAAGCATGAAATTGCTCTTGAGTGTTGCCCGTTTTGTGAACTGCCAGGGAAGAGGTTTCGCAGGTACAGTCAGGGTTAGACAAGGGAGAAAGACAGGAGGAAAACCAAACCATCTACTCACAGCTTTGCTAAGAAACACAACAAAAACCTTTCTAGGGAACAGGCTTTTGGGTGCCCAGGGCAAACAAGGGTGTTGGTACCACAGATGAGTTATTAAAATTTGGTAGTGACAAGTCCCCACACCAAAGAGGGTGGGTGGGGGGCTGTTTCTATAGAGGGAAAAGTTTAGAAGTAGGTTTAAATAAATGTAGTGAAATTCCAGTTTTGATTTTGAATACTAGTCTAGTGTCTCTTGGTGATGTAGAGCAATTATGGAAACTGCAATGAAGATGGGATAAAGGACTCAGGATGCTGCTGTCAGTTCTCAGTTTTAGGTAAGCATGCCCAAAGTCATATTCTTCCGTTTGTCCTTTGAAGTGGAAAATGACAGCCGTTTGTGCAGCTGATTAGCCCTGCCCAGGGGCTTGAAAACTAGCTAGGAATGGGGGGTGAGGACCACTGGTCAACACCAGTGGCTCAGAGTATCCTCTAGGAATTCTCTGGGTGCCAATGATGTCTTAAACCAGAGAGCGTGTAAAGAGGGAAGACGGAGGTTGGGAGGTGAGATTGTTACTGCTAGGGCAGGTTGTCCTCTGGGATTCGATCCACCACGTGCCTTGTCCAGGATTCCGCTGAACATAGGAAGGCCCAGGTGGTTTCTGGGAGACCCAATACACATGTTCAGAAGTGCTGAACCTGCTTCTGACAAAGTTTGCAAATGCAGAGACATTAAACACATCTGCAAGGTTCTGAAGCCATCAGCTCTTGGCTAAGACAGGCCCAACAGTAGAACTCCAGGGAAAGTTCTCATCTTGTGCAGCATCCAAGCATTACTTTTGTCTGTGGGAAGTCCCTTTCACATTCTAAACATGAGGGTGAAGGGTAGGTATGTTCACAAACCAACCCTAGTTCATTGTGGAATACCAGAAGGCAAAGATCACTATGGGTCACCTTTGGAGGCTGGCCTGCCACAAAAGGTTCTGAAATAAAAACTGCCATGCTTTTCTGATAGTCAGTATAAAGTAAGAGGCCTCAAAAGAGCTGTCACAAAGTGCTCAGTTTATATAGAGTTCTATGCTCATTACTAACGGGCATATATCAGAGCATGTGTTTGAGAAGTTTCTGCAGGTTAAAAGTAGCTCTTAATAGTGCAGATAACTCAGACTATGTTGCAATAATACAAACCTGCTGTGGGATAATGCTCGTGTACACTGTAAAGATTTGTCAGTCTTATTGGTTTAATAAAATGCTGATTGGCCAGTAGCCAGGCAGGAAATGTAGGCAGGGTGAGCAAACTAGGAGAAGGTGGGAAGAGGAAAGGCAGAGACAGTCATGAGCCAGATGCAGAGGAAGTAAGTTAAGAATGCTGGACTAAGAAAGGTACCAAGCCACGTGGCTAAACAAAGACAAGGATTATGGGTTAATTTAAGTGTAAGAGGTAGTTAGTTATAAGCCTGAGCAATAGGTCGAACAGTTTATAATTAATACAAGCCTCTGTGTGTTTATTTGGGACTGAAGGGCTACGGGACTGGGCAGGACTGAAACTTCCATCTACACAAACCAAGTGCTTAAAGTTACAAAGTGAATTATATTAAGATTTTTATTAAAACATCAAAGGACTTTTTTTATTTCACATGAGTAGAAATTATTATTTTAGCCATGTCTTACAAAGTGTATTTTGTAATTTGAATATATTTTAATAAAGGCCAGTCGAGTGAAGGCTCTTCAGAGCAAGTAAGTTTCTAATTAACCTGGCAAAGGAAAAGGAGGTAATCTCTGCTGATTTCCTCAGAGGCCAAATGCTTAAAGAAGTGATCTAAAAGACTGCAATACTCCACTCGAATTTGATGCAGCACTCAGCTCATTTACCTAATTTCTAACATGCCCACCTAGGACAGCTGGCCCTTTGCTACCTAGGCTACTAGTGTTTAAAGCCGTGTTAAGTAACCAATGTCAATAAAAAGCAGCTCTTCAAATTATTAGAGTAACAATCATTTCATAATCCTCTCAGGCAGAATCCTCCCAGACTTTAGGAATGTAGAACCATCCCAGAGCTCTCCACTGCTTTAGCAAGCCAGCAATCCTTTCTGATTAGCAGAGCTAGTTTTCCATTAGTACTGGTGACCGACACCCATTCCTAAATTCAGGTGTTTTTACAGAGTTTACTATGTCCCATCTTCTTCAAGTTCTCTGAACTCCCTGATAAAGAAAAGGCTTAAGCTAAGGACCTGCCTCATCTTTGCGACTATAATGATTTCATCATTTCCTCCACAAATTCCTTCAAAACTGTCAAGCACCTGTGTCCCAGGGAGGAGTTGAGTGCAAACCAAACTTTTGAATGGAGATGGGTGTTCCACAGGGAGATGAAGGCAGCCTAGGGAGAAGGCAATGGCCTTCCTGGGCTTCCTCCTCTGGTGCTAGGATTCGGAAGCACCCCTGGAGGCGGAGCTACAACAAATTACATGCATACTGTGTATGCTGCTCATGTGTCTCGTTTTGAAATTAACAACTGTATTGAAAAGTTTCAAAATACACGAGTGCGTATTTATTATAAAAAGAATATACAAAAGATAAATTCCTTCTGACTACTCCCCACAGTCCCAAATCCTCTCATAGACATAACACAGCAGACAGACTTGGAAAAAAAAACCTTTCCAGACCTCAGTTATTATACAATACAAACAGCACTGTAGCATGCTAGGTATTATTAAACACTTTGCTTTTCTACTTTCTACTTATTTGCCCGTGGAGCAAGGATCTAACTCAAGGCGTCATGCATGCTGGTCTTCTAGGTAATTCCCATTATTGTACTGCAGCACAGGCTCATTCTTTCTAACAGTTATGGGGCAGAGTACATAGTACTATGTTCTATGCCTTATTTAGCAGGGCCTCTCTACTGGCGGCTGGGTATCAATGCTGTGGTGAACATCCATTCGTACATACCCTGTGCCCAGACGCACAGTCCTGTTGAAGAGATGCCTACAGGCTGATGCCTCAGTATAGAGCACACTTGCTTTAGAGCCCTTTAAACAAATCTTTCTTTCTGTTTCAATGCAATGAAATGTTACTAGCATACAGTTTTCTGAACAAGCCAGTAAGGTATGACTTCACCCGTTTTTACGTTTGTATCCACTTCAGTGTCTGGCACAGGGTTGACACTGGTAAGTGCGTGCTGATTGATAAGGACAAACTAACTAGACACAGGTGGAAACTGAAAGGTTCAGATCTTAAACTTCCTAGTTAGAAAGCAGGTCTTTGTGGGTTAGTGAATCAAGAGTCCATGATGTGTACCTCAGATCTACAAAAAAGGAGGTATTTCATTAGGTTTTCTTTGTTGTTGCTGTTGTTTGTTTTGGCAAAGTTGCAAAATAAATGCAAAGTTTTGTTTTACTCCTGAAGAATTCTCAAGGAACTTGAGAAGGGAGACCAATGAAGGGGGAAAGCAAAGGTAAGACTGAAGAGCAAACAGCAACCAGGAAATGAAACCACCAAGCTGCAGGCACATTTGCATTCACACGGGTTCTAAAGTCGAAATATAGGCCAAATACAGTCTCTCTCCAGCCAGTCTCTGAAGACTCAATCTTGGGCAGGCAGCTGACCAGGTGAAGGAGCGACTCATGTTTGCTGAGCCTTGGCATGGAGCGTTTCTTCTAGGCAGTTTTGGGAATACAGCAAAGTCCAGAGTTGACACGAAGAAGTCTGATTCCATTGACCTTGGAAATGAGCAGATGGAGGGAAAGGCGGAAGTTAATCTGACTTCCACAGAACACTGCATACAATGGTACAAGGCTTCTGCACAGTTCAGGAACAAATAGGATAAAGTGGGGTAGAGGAGAGTGGTAGAGCGCTGAATGAATTTATGAATATGCTGAAAGAGAATGATTTGTTTGAGTATCTGTAAGAATGATGAAATCTCTAATTTTACAGAGTAAGAGCCAGCTTAGCTAAGAGTAGTCATGGAACACGGGGACACAACTACTCAAGAGGTGCTAGAAGCATGGGGAGTTCGCTTTGTCTTTGGGGGAAGGGCAGCTCACTGACTCCAGGGCCTGACCTAGTAAGTAAATGTTCCGCAACTGTACTACACCTCCATTTCTTTAGGATTTGTTTTATTTTGAGATAGGAGCTCACTAAGTTGCCCTGGCTGGTCTAGAACTTGGGATTCCCCCCACTGCCACCTTCCACACAGCTGAGATCACAGGCACAAGCCGTCTCATGTCACTGGAGTTTACTTCTCCTCTGTGCCCTGTCCACAGCAAACTGCCAGCTAATCTTTTCCAGCCATCCCTTCTCAGACAGTAGCCTGGCTCTCCCTGGATAGCTCAGTCAAGCCGTTTTCTACTTGTCCTACTGCCTCTGGCTACTCAAGCCCGTTAGTGACAGTTCTATACTCCTCGGGAGAAAGGGCAAAAACCGGCCACTTTCCCCTTGCCTTCCTCAGAAGCTAAAATAAATACAATGTTTCTAGTTGGACACTTACATCTCAGCCCACTCTGTCGGAGTAAAACTTCCCGGCAGAGGCAGGACAGTACACTTCTGCCAGTGGCCAGACACTCCCTCCCTCACATACACCTAGTCCTCACCATGGAAAAAGCTATAGCTCAGGACCAGAAAAAGATTCTCACCTTAGAAACAGCACAAAGTCCCTGGGTGGGAGCAAAAATCAATGTAAGACTAGTATTTTGTCAAAGGACAATGTGAAATAAAAGAAAATTATTTCCATTTTTTATTATTTGGCAGAAAACCAATAAAATAGAGTGACCTACGTTAACCAGCTTTCTTATGGACGCTAGTCAAGCACAATTAATGGCACAGTAAAAGTTGGGCACCCTGGCATCATCTGAAGGCAGAATGGTTTTTGATCATGTTACAAATGACATGTTGGTTCACCGAAGAGCAGACCTTGACTTCAGGTATATCTGGCTGACATGCTGCAGAGAGGTGAGACTTCACACGTATGTGAGTCATTCATGAGAGAGTAAACTCTTGGTCCACTGTGCTTCCTTTGGGAAAGTTTGTATGTTTGTTTGTTTCAAGATGGGGCTCTCACTATGCAGTCTTGGCTGGCCTGGAACTCGATATGTAGACAAGACTGACTTTGAACTCACAGAGATCCACCTGCCTCTGCTTCCCGAAAGCTGAGTTTAAAGGTGTGCACCACCACACCCAACCTTCATTAGGAACAGTAAGGGCACAGGGAAAGCAAGCGAGACTGTCGGTTCAATGTGGCTTCACATAAGAACACAGACATCAAAAGGATGAGGCTGCTGTGTCCCTCTTTAACATCCTGAACTCACCTCAAGGCTTCCTTTCAGGTGGCTGTCTCTCAGCATCCTTTGAAGTCTGTTTCTGATGCTGGAGATGGAGGCTGTCTAGCTTCTGCACATCTTCTGTAAGGTCATTTCTGAGATCTGTGTTGTTTCTCAGAAACGCTTTCACCACATCCAGTTGATTCGAGATCTGCAAAAGGAAAGCGTCCAGAGTGCTGCTCAGGTTAATTTGTACAACAGAAGTCAATTCACAGAGAACACTGAGCAGTTTCAAGACTGGCTCCCAAGGCTGCAGCTGGAGCTCAGCAGCAGGCGCATGCCCTTCAACAACCTGTTCCTGTCTATATGTCTACCAGGAGACAGAAACACCAGCTACTGGCACTCATCCACACAAAGGTTAAGTCTGTAAATCAAAAATAAACACATTCTTTAAAACAAGGCACACTCATGCCGTGTGTGGTAGCTCAAACCTTTGTCCCAGCACTGGGGAGGCAGAGGCAGGTGAATTTCTGTGAATTCAAGTCCGGCCTGTTCTACACAGTGGGTTAAAGGCCAGCCAGAGATATATGTCTCAAAAAAAAAAAAAAAAACCAATAACAAAACTACACTCAGCCAGGTGTGTTTAAAATCTGTACTTGGAAGGCTGAGGCAGGAAGCTCACCACAAGTTGCAGGCCTGTACCAATAAATAAGTAAATTAGAAGATACATCTATAAAACAGTATTAAATGTACAGATACAAAATTCCAAGTCAACAGAGTATGAGGTTAAAAGTCAACACTCTTAAATCTGCTCCTAATGATCCCATTCTCTCCTTTACGGTGACTACAACAAGCCATCTTCTGTTTCAGTTTTGCTTGGTTTGAGACAGGGCTTCTCTGACAGCTCTGGCTGTCCCAGAATCTGCTTTGTAGATTTTTTTTTTTTGGTTTTTCAAGACAAGGTTTCTCTGTGTAGCTTTGTGCCTGTCCTGGATCTCACTCTGTAGACCAGGCTGGCCTTGAACTCACAGAGATCCACCTGCCTCTGCCTCCTGAGTGCTGGGATTAAAGGCATGCGCCACGACCGCCCAGCACCATCTTATTTCTTCTGGAGACATGTCTTGTGCTTGTGTGTACGCTTCACACATCTGCATGTCATCTTTGCACAGGGCCCATGCTATCCTTCTCTGTATCATTCCAATTTTACTATCTGTGCTGCCGAAGCAAGCACATGTGTACACATTTTTGAAATCACACGATCTCTTCTATGGGAGACTATAAAGAGCATTTCATGATTTTATACACATTTTTAAAACAAGTGTGTCAGTTCTTGGTCAATTTCACACATATATAATGCATTCTGACTAATCTCTCCGGCCCCTTTCATTCCTCTCTTCCTCCTACGCCTCCCTAACTGTCCTTTTCCTAGATGCAAGACTTCTGGTTTTGTTCTTGTGTCCTACGGGGACTATCCACAGGAGCCTGCTGAGGTCGCCAGAGGCTACAAAACCTGTTATCTTACCGGCAGCTGCAGGGGGAGGTTTGGGGCAATCTGAAAGCAAACAGTTTAAGATACCTAAGATAAGCAGTTAGCTGGAGGGGAAGGTTTGTACAAGCTAACAGCAGCTGATAAGTTCACTGGGACATCCTGGCCTTTAGTTCCTACAAGAGAGCTGGGTAATCTCCAACAAGATCAGATTCTAGTTAAGCCTGTAATAGCCTCAGCAGGAACAAAATGGGGGGTTGGGGATTTAGCTCAGTGGTAGAGCGCTTCCTAGGCAAGGTCCTGGGTTCCGTCCTCAGCTCCAAAAAACAAAAACAAAAACAAAAACAAAAAACCACAGGCACTGACTGTCTAAATATACTAGTAGCAAAGAGTTCTATACATACATACAGACAGACATAGGTTTTTTGAGACAGAGTTTCTTTCTCTCTGTAGCCCTGGCTGTCCTAGAACTTGCTTTGTAGACCAGGCTGGTCTTAAACTCAGAGATCCGCCTGCCTCTGCCTCCTGAGTGCTGGGATTAAAGGTGTGTGCCACCACTCAGTAGTGTGTGTGTGTGTGTGTGTGTGTGTGTGTACATATATATATTTTTTTGAGTCAGGCTCCTATATACCTCAGACTTGCCTTAAACATAAGCTCCTCCTTCCCTAAGTCTCAGTATTGTTTTGTTAATTTATTTTATGTGTACGAGTGTTTTGTCTGCATGCACGTATGTGTACTATATGTATGATGCCTGCAGAGACCAGAAAAGGACATCAGATCCCCCTGAAACTGGAGTTATAGATAGCTATCAGCCATCATGTGGGTGCTGGGAACCAAACCTGGGTCCTCCGCAAGAGCAGCCAGTACCCTAAGCCTGACTTTTACAACTGTATAGTATTTCAATTACGCAAGGTCCATTTTTCAACACATTCTGAACCTTTTGTTCAGACGACCATGTGGGATTTACTGTCACAGGTGTGACGTTTCTGTTTATAGAAAGAAATAGAAGGCAGCTTTAATTCTTAGTTTTTAAGTCTTAGTTTTTTGTAGAGTTAGCCAGAAGTGCCATGTATAGAGGTTATACTGATTTAAATCCCCCAACATACTTCTCAAGCTTTTAGCCAGTACAAGGAATCGTATCCCAGATTCCCCATGCTTATTACAAAAATGCCAGGTACTATTACTATTATTTTGATAGTGCTGGGGAACTGAACCCAGTGTTGTGGAATATTTGTTGAAGTAGGCAAAGATGTATTACACATTTGTTTAACAATGTAAAAATGTGTTGCATTTGCATTCATTAAATACAATTAACCTGGGTTCAGAGAGGCAGGGTTAGTAACCAGTTGGCAGGAAGTAGTAGAGAGGAGCCTAGCATGAGTTTTTTCGTTAGGGTAGTATGGAGAGTGGCTTCTGGGGACACCAGCTAAGAGAAAGTTAGCCAGTTGCTACTCTAACTCTCTGAGCGCGAAGGTTTCCCCCCTAGCCTTAGAATCTTGAATTTTATTAGAACGACGATGACAGAGATTTAGTTAAAGCGACCTTTACTGAACAGAATCCCCTCCCCCCCCCCCAGGCTACGGCCTTAGTGGTTGGACCACTAGCAGTTTGAATTGCAGCCACTGTAACGAAGGTAACCTAGCAACCCAGGGCCATGCACTTGCCTACCACTGAGCTAAATGACTAGCCCCTGGTTTGGGGCTATAGCATGTTTATTACATAGGGGACCACCAACTCCACACCAACTCCAGATTATTTAAACTCTAACAGCAGCCCACAACAGTGCAAAGGCAGCTCTTCAGCTTTGGAATGCAGAAAGAAGGGACCAGTGTGGCCTCTCTGCCTGCAGTCAGTTATAAGACTCCAATAGCCAGATGCTAGATGCAAGGGATGAGCAAGTTGTGAGTAGGCTGACTGTGGAGCAGGGAGGGGCAGGCAGATGCTGAAGATGACAGGTTACAAAGCAGACAAGGGGCCGGGCGGTGGTGGCGCACGCCTTTAATCCCAGCAGAGGCAGAGCCAGGCGGATCTCTGTGAGTTCGAGGCCAGCCTGGGCTACAGAGCGTTCCAGGACAGTCAGGGCTACACAGAAAAACCCTGTCTTGAAAAACCAAAAAAAAAAAAAAAAAACAAAAAAAACCAAAAAAACAACAACAACAAGAAGCAAGCAAGCAGACAAGGAGACCACCCTGCAGGTTAGCTGGAAGACTGAAAACCTGCCTAGAGCCCCTACAAAATGCCAGGCTTTGGCTATCCCTTGGAAGCACAAAAAATGTGAAGAACATAGGTGGCATTTTTGGTCACGGCAAGTGTTCTCCTAGACTCTGCTTGGTGCCTTGGTCAGACCATAGGGCTGTCTGTCACGTGTAGCTAATGCAGGCACCGTGTCAACCGGCCCCGCATACCACACTAAGTTCCTCACAGGACTCACGGTCCTCCCTAGGGCCTCTTCTCTCTTGGTTTCCTAGCAAGTGTGAGTCTGCAGTCCCCAAATGGGTTTGCTCCCTTCCACTTAGCTCCTTTTTTGCTTAAAGGTTTTATGCAGAACCCTCTGGTCCTCCTCCATAGCCTGCTCCAGTTTTCTGTTCCAAATTGGCTTGTTTTTTCATTCCAATCAGAAGTAGAGCTTCAATCTTTCCCTTTTGTGAAAGCAATAAACACATAAATGTGTTTAAGGTATTCATAGCTCTAGCAAGAGTGACTCCTCCTCCAGCTTGAAGGCAAGGCAGATTAAAAGGCAGGCTTGGTCCTGGTATGTGCTACTAGTGAGATCCTGTCTCCAAACAAACAACAACAAAGTCTGGGTTCCATCCTCAGTACTGTAAAATTTAACTGATTAAAATTCTTAAGAATGGTGATCTAGGTGTGACAGAAACGCCTGAAAGGCTAGTACTTGGGAGGTGGAGGCAGGAAGATCAGGAGTTCAAGGTTATCCTTGGCTATACAAAAGAGTTTGAAGGTATCCTGGGCTCTCTGAAAAAAAGACAAAAAACAAGAAACAAAAAATGGGGTGGTGGTGGGGAGAAATGGGAAGCTTGTGCATTTTCATGTAAAGGGGAAGAGGAAGTAAATATGAAAACCCAAAAGTTCTAGAAAATTGTAGTCATATAGGCTTTGTTACTTTAACTAGCTGTGTGACTTTGCATGGATTGGCTCCCAGCTCACTTTCATATACACAAATTAATGACAATATTAATATGAACTAGGAGATTTTGGGGAGGTGGGTTCAAGAGTCAATTTATTAAAAGGAGTTTAGCATTGTGTCTGGCACACATTCATTAAAAAAAGGCTTAATTTGCTTAATTAGCCAGTTAACTAGTTAACTGTGTGTTTGCCTATTATTCCAGGTAAAGGATGCTAACAGTGTCGCGCTTCCAGCTACTTAAGCTTAAACTCCCTTTCACATTCCACCTGTGACTCCCTCACCATCTGAAAAATGAACTATTTCATGGTCTGTTGAACAAAAAGGCACAAAAGATAGAAATTATCTTTCCTACGTAGAGACCTAGTGCCCCTTTCCTGACTCACACAAGGTAAGGAGAGCTAGAAATGTACAGTGGCCAGTGCCTCCCAGGTAGCAGACCTGCTGCTGCACATAGAGGGCTACACATTTCCAACACTTATTACCTGCTCCTCTATAAAGCACAACTCCGGTGTTTCCCTACTGATTTCAGGGACTCGAGTCCAAACAGCTTGGTGTGCCACACTCCTCCCTGCTTTCGGGGCCACTGCCCAGCCCAAACTAACTAGCCTTCCACACTTCTGCTAAGAGCATCCTTCCTCCCAGGCCAACTACTGATCACTTACTAAATCTCTGAGTTATAGCTCAATAGCATCTTTTCCTTTTTTGTGGGGGAGGGTTCCCCCCGAGAGCTGATAACCCATCAAGCATCTTACTCCGAATTCTGTTTTAACTCTTATGCCACTATTCCACTTTGGGGCACATATTAGGTCCTCAAATAGGTGCTCAGTGAAAATACCCGTTAAAATATATGATCAGACTGGGCGGTGGTGGCACACACCTTTAATCCCAGCACTCGGGAAGCAGAAGCAGGCTGATCTCCATGAGTTTGAGACCAGGCTGGTCTACAGAGTTAGTTCCAGGACAGCCAGGGCTGTTACACAGAGAAACCCTGTTTCAAAAAACTAAACCAAACCAAATCAAACAAACAGAAAAACAAACATACGATCAGTAAATACTGGAAGAATATGTACTTCTAGAAATCACTTGACTTAAAAATCAGAAACCTGAAAAAAAAAATCAGAAACCTGGCTCCCTTGTCTGTCCTGGCTGGAATTTTATGTCAACTTGACACAAGCTAGAGTTATTTTGGGAGCCAGAACCACGATTGAGAAAATGTTCCCACCAAATTGGTCCATGGGCAAGCCTGTGGGGCATTTTCTTGATTAAGGATTGATGTGGGAGGGCCCAGGCCTAACTCAATGTGGTTGGTAGCACCCCTGGGCAGGTGGGCCTGAGTTGTCTAGGAAAGCAGGCTGAATAAGCCAGTAAGCAGCATTCATCCCTGGCCTGTGCTTCAGTCTCTGCTTCTGGGTTCCTGCCCTGACTTTCCTCAGTGATGGAATGTGACCTGAGTTGTAAGCTCAAAGAAACCCTCTTCCCCAAGTTGTTTTCCGTCATGGTGTTTATCACAGCAACAGAAACAGTGTTGGAACCAGCTGCTGCTGCTGCTGCTGCTGCCGCCGCCGCCGCCGCCGCCTTTCTTTCCTCCTTACACTTCATCCCTCCCTTTACCTCTTCTGGCAACACCTCTTCTGCAGCTGCTTGAAGATACATCTCTTGCAGTTTTTCCTTCAGCAGTTCCGTTTCAATTTCATGGATTTGGCTCGCACTCAAGTAACTTCCTGTTTCGAATTCACAGCCATCTCGTTCATCCTCCTCAGGAATGTGAACAGCCCAGTCAGATGTCAGCAGCTGTGGGGTGAGCACACAAAGGCAAGTACAAACTACTTTTGATGAATTCTTTGAGAACTTCATCCATGGACACAATGTATTTTGATCATATCCCCTCCCTCTCCTCCCCAACTGCTCCTGGGTTCACCCTCACATTCAAAGTTCATTCTTCAGGTATCACTGTCTGCAGTGTTGGGGATGGAACTGAGGGACTAACCGCGAGCTAACGAACCTATCACCGAGCCACACCTCAGCCACTTGTACTTGACAGCCCGAGTTCCATTCCGGGACCTCATACGGTGAAGGGGAGAACAGCCTCCCAAGAGATGCCCGATAATCTCCACACGCACTGTGGCATGCACACATCTCTGTGGGTGGGGGATACTTGTGCACATCCACGTGGGCACACATGCACTCACACATACACACAAAATAAATGAACTATTTTAACGGAAAAGAAATTCTACCGGGGAACTCAAAGAATTTACAATAAAATACCATTACCTAGACCTATTTTAACCATACACTGTTATTAAAGAAAAACTCCGCTCTGTTAATCCCATGTTTTATGCCAGCATTCTTTCCTTTGGTTCACACTAGCCATCCAAATAATAATAGAAAACAAAGAGGAGGAGTCTGGAGTGCTTGCCTGGCATTCACGAGGATGTGTGTGCGTTATCATCAGCATCGCACCAATAATAAAGAAATACATTTTAGTTTAAGTAAACATCAAATCCATCTCTCTTCTGTTTGAAACAGGGTCTCACTTGGAAGCTCAGGCTTCCCAAGAACTTACTATGTAATAAAGGCCAGCTTTGAACTAGCCATACTTCTGCCTCAGTCTTCCAAGTGCTGGGATTTACATGCACCACCACACCTGGCTTAACATCAAATTCTAAATGAATGACTATGGATATTTCTGACCTCTTAGTTTTGTATGCCAGAACTGTTAAATGAAGTTCCAGATGGGCATGGTATATGCCTATAATCCCTGCACTCATTAAGTAGAGGCAGGAGGACTGCCACATGAACATTTGTGAACAACCTAGTCTACATATCAAGTTCCAAAGCCAGGCAGGGCTAACAGTAAGATCTTGTCTTAAAAACAAAACAAAAAAACCAAACCAAACCAAATGAAAAAAAAAAAAAAAACCAAATAAATATATAAAGATCTTTACCTGTTCTATTCTAGAATATACTGCTACAATCTCTGGAATATTCTTGAATTCATTCAGAAAATTTTGGATCTTTATCTGAAAATCTCGAAGCCATGTAGAAGATACTTTCATCTCTGAAGAGTGCATTATCTCGTTCCGACACCGAATTAGCTACAGAAAAACAAAAACGAAGTTGAGTCGGTATGCCTCAGCAGGTAAAGGCGCTTGGTGCCAAGCCCCAAAACCTGAACTCAATCCCCGGAGCCACCCAGTAGAAGGTCTGGTGGACTCATGTGTTTGAACAGTTGGTCCCCAGTTAGGGACGGTTTGGGAAGCATTAGGAGGGTGTGACACTGTTGGAGGAGGTGCCTCCCTGGGGTCAGGCTTGCAGTTCGTGTGCACACTCAGCTGTTCCCGCTGCCTTTACTCCACCATCAATCAATCACTATGGACTCTAACCAACGAAATGCTTTCTTTTACAGGTTGCCTTGGTTACAGTACTAGCAAAGTAACTAAGACAGAAGAAGAAAACCAACTCCTACAAGTTGTCCTTTGACTGCCACATGTGCGCAGTGGCACAGGCCCTCTTTCTCAACAAGCAAATAAATGTAATAATAAAAGTGCAAATAAATGTAACAATAATAAATTGGACATAACATTTTTAATAAGTCTTCTAAATTAATGGGGTAAACTGAGACATTTTTAGCTCTAAGAAGAAATTACAGAAAGACTTTACTGAATTATAAAACCGACCAGTGTGGTATCCAGAGGACAAGAGCTGGACCTTTCCTGAGACCACCACATAATCTATTTTAATAATTGAAATGGCATACAGGACAACGAAGCCCTCTTGCCCCTAAGTCAGACTTTTATTTTGTGCCTGCCCAGAGAGCATCTCTCAAGCAGTGAAATCCCTGCCGGGTCTCACACTGAAATGCTCTCGAGGCCCAGGGGAGCCCTTGGTGAAGCTGAAGGAAGGAGGGACTGGCATCGACTGGAGAACGGATGTCCCATCTAGAGCAGCAGCTTACACTCAACTTGTTGCTATCGGAGCTTTATGAACTAACTCAGCGTCACCAGATCTTCTTTATTTCCAGGATAGAAATTCCAAAGTTGGTTTAAAATAACCAGGCAGGAACTGGCAAGATGCTTCCGTAGGTAGAAGCACCTGTCACCAAGCCTGGCAACCTTCAATCCCTGGGACCCACACGGTGGAAGGAGAGAAGTGACTTTTCGACGTTGTCCTCTTACAGTCACACGACCACACCTACACACACACACACACACACACACACACACACACACACACACACACACACACACACCTACACATACACACACACACACACAAACACAGACACACACCCACCAAATAAATATATGGTGGTTAAGAGTACTTGTTGGCCAGGCGGTGGTGGCACACGCCTTTAATCCCAACACTCGGAGGCAGAGGCAGGCGGATCTCTGTGAGTTCGAGGCCAGCCTGGACTACCAAGTGAGTTCCAGGACAGGCACAAAGCTACACAGAGAAACCCTGTCTCGAAACACCACCTCCCAAAAAGGCACTTGTTGCTCTTGCTAAGAACCTAGGTTCAGTTCCTAATACTCACATGGTGCCTCACAACTTTCTCTAACTCCAGCTCCAAGAGATCTGATGCCCTCTTCTGACCTCCACAAGCACATACACAGGCAAAACACTCAGACACATATAAGAAATGTTAAAAAATTATAGAAAAATAAATATAACAATTTTATAAAATCAGATAAGACAAATAAAGCAGGAGTACAAGCCAGATTTTGGCTCTAGAATACTGTCAAGGGTTAAATTGACATACAACCCACTGACACAAATAACAACCGAGGCAGAGAGATACAAAGATGAGGCTGGAGAGGTGGCTCAGTGGTTAGAGCATGTGCTGAGAACACAGCTTTGATTCCTAACACTTACATGGCAGGTAACAACGTCTGTACCTCCAGTCCAAGGGGACCTGACATCCTTTGCTGGCCTCCACTGGTACTGCATACACATGCTGCACAGACATACATGCAGACATAACACCCATACATGTAAAATAAAAACAAATAAATCTCTTTTATAAAAAAGGTTGACAGTCATGGTGGCATGCAGCTGTAATGACAGCACTTGGGAGGCAAGAGAATCATGAATTCAAGGCACACACATTGATACCTTGTCTCAAAAGGAAAATAATACAAAGAAACCTCCATCCTTAGTTGTGGAAGTCATTCTCCTAAAATGTCTTTGTGCTGGCAAAATGTCAATTTGACATAAGCTAGAGTCATTTTGGGAAAGGGAACTTCAGTTGAAAAAAATACCTCCAATTGACTGGCCTGTGGTACATGTTTTTGATTGATGGTTGATGTGGGAGGGCCTACCTCACTGTAGGTGGTGCCACCTCTGTTATAAAAAGCAGCACCCCTCCATGGCCTCTGCACCAGCTTCTGCCCCTAGGTTCCTGCCCTATTTGAGCTCGTGCTCTGCCTTTCCTCAGTGATGGACTGTGCTGTGGAACTGTAAGCTCAAGTAGAACCTGTCCTCCCCAGGTTGCTTTGGTCATGGCAACTATCACAGCAACAGAAACCTTTATGAAGTTTTTGTTTCCTTTTTAAACATTTCTGCATCTTCTTTCCCCCAAATGTCTTCAAACAACCTGTCAAAGAGCAAGCACACTGGCTCCAGATATAACTGTAGGCTGCAGCAGACAACACACACATGCACGAAATCTTTCAGCTCCCATCCAGTGCCAGGAAGCTGTGTAAAGGGAGATTTCTGATTTGGAAATCATGATGAAAACAAAACCAACTTTTGCTTATGAAAAAAACATACTTAAATACAATTCAACTAGTCTGTGTTCTTGGCTGGAAGATGGGGTCAACACTATGTTAAATCTTCATCTCTGGGAGGGCACAAAGAGATTTGTATCTTCAGCTGCTGCCATGCTGCTGAAATAGTGTCATTCTTGACCAAAATTACAAATAATCCAAGGATTCTACACACTCTTTTCAAGGACCTCAAAATTATAAACAAGCAAGGATTATTCTTTGGTGATATAGTGAAAAACCAAAATCTTCCAGAGTTCTGTGACAGGGAGAGTGATCTACCCTAACATGTATTATGCATTAGCGTTCTTATTTTCTTCAGTTCCTCCTAATTTGATCTCATGGCTATTTTACAGAAGGACTGTGTGTGTGTATGTGTGTGTGTGTGTGTGTGTGTGTGTGTGTGTGTAGATAGGGATGGAATTTAGAGCCTTGTGCATGCCTTACAAGCACTTTACCACTGAGTTTCACAACTAGCCCTGCATTGGTCTATTTTTTTTTTTTTTTTAAGTTTTTTGAGACAGGGTTTCTTTGTATAACAGCCCTGGCTATCCTGGAACTCACTTTTATAAACCAAGCTGGCCTCAAACTCAAGAGATCCACCTACCTCTGCCTCCTCAGTGCTGCGATTAAAGGCATATGCCCCCTCCACCACCCGGTGCCTGCTGTGGGATGTTCTGTATGTCAAATGTGTTGCTGATTAGTCAATAATTAAAACACTGATTGGCCATTGGCTAGGCAGAAAGTGTAGGCGGGACAAGGAGGAGAATAAAGCTGGGAAGTGGAAGGCTGAGTCAGAGAGACACTGCCAGCCGCCACGATGAGAAACCGCATGTAAAGATGCCGGTAAGCCACGAGCCATGTGGCAAGGTATAGATTTATAAAAATGGATTAATTTAAGCTGAAAGAACAGTTAGCAAGAAGCCTGCCATGGCCATACAGTTTGAAACCAATATAAGTCTCTGTGTTTACTTGGTCAGGTCTGACGGCTGTGGGACTGGCGGGTGAGAGAGATTTGTCCTGACTGTGGGCCAGGCAGGAAAACTTTAGCAACAAATGGCGTCCAACGTGCTGGCAAGAGTTTCCACCTAAAAACTGAAAAAAAGGATTCTAAAACGGAGCTAAAAACAGTTCCTAATTGTCTCTCTCAAATGAGCGGCAGCTGCCGGTTTGAGCTACTGGCGGGTTGCTGGCGTGCGCGCTCGACTTGCAGTATGGCGGGAATGAGGCCTCTGCAAGTGGCACATTAAGCTACATTGTGGATTTAGCCTTTGCTAGTACAAAACAAAAAAAGAGGTTTCTGGGCTACACGCTGCTTGGATAAAAGCATAGACCCACGATAGCTCCCAGAGCTGGCGGTAAGCATACTGCCGCCATGTTGGGAAGCTGAGGTGGGCGGAGCCAGTAGCCACAGCACCAACACCGTTTCAGGCTTAGAAGGCTGCAGCTTAAAACAATAGATTCACAATAAGACAGATTCAGATGTAATAGTTTAAAATGTATGTAAAATATACGTAGGCTTGAAAGAAAAAAAAAGGTGATATATACAGTATAGAAACAAATACATGGTTTTAAAAAATAAAGTCTTTAAAGAGACAGTAAAATTAATATAAAAAATAAGCCACATAGAGATGACTATTACACAGAGAGTCTGGATTGTGTTGTCTTTGGGATTCTTAACTACAGAGAGATATTTGATTGTAAAGGAAGCTGAGTTAAACCAGTATGTATATTTTAAAGATACTTTGACTTCAAAATTTGGATGTAAGGATATGTTGCTTTGGAAAAGAGTCTCTTTTGTTTCCACAGAAAGCAAGAGGCTATGGATTTGTTCCAGATTAAGACACATCAGGTTTGACCAGCCAAGACCACCTGAAAGGTCTCCGATGACACCATGGCCCAGATGATCCAACATCCAGAACCGTTTCAAGGCAACTGGCTCAGATGATACACCCTCATGGACTATTCCATAATCCTAAAATTTTCTTTGTTTCCCCATAAGATACAGCGCCCCCCTCCAGCAGGAAGTAGTAAGAGAAGCTACGCCCAAATTCCCAAATTATATGTAATTTTACTTTGTTAAGGTTAAAACCTTCCTTTTTTTTAAAAAAAAAAAAGGGGGGAAGTGCTGTGGGATGTTCTGTATGTCAAATGTGTTGCTGATTAGTCAATAATTAAAACACTGATTGGCCATTGGCTAGGCAGAAAGTGTAGGCGGGACAAGGAGGAGAATAAAGCTGGGAAGTGGAAGGCTGAGTCAGAGAGACACTGCCAGCCGCCACGATGAGAAACCGCATGTAAAGATGCCGGTAAGCCACGAGCCATGTGGCAAGGTATAGATTTATAAAAATGGATTAATTTAAGCTGAAAGAACAGTTAGCAAGAAGCCTGCCATGGCCATACAGTTTGAAACCAATACAAGTCTCTGTGTTTACTTGGTCAGGTCTGACGGCTGTGGGACTGGCGGGTGAGAGAGATTTGTCCTGACTGTGGGCCAGGCAGGAAAACTCTATCTACAGGTGCCCTGTGTTTTTTTGTTTGTTTTATTTTGTGTATGTGTGTTCTATGCATGTGCATGTGTTCATGTGTCTGTGTGGAGGTCAGATGTCAACATTGGGTATCTTCCTTTATCCACCTTCACCTTACTTTTTGAGATCACCTCTCAGTGAATTTGGAGCAAGTCCCCGGGCTTCTACTGTCTCTGGCTCTGCCCCCAGTACTGAGATGACAGATGTGCACTGCCACACCCAGCTTTTACGTAAGTGCTTAGAATCTGAACGTAGGTCCTAATGCTTACCCAGCATGTACTTTACTGACTGACCCATCTCCCCAATACTTCAGACCTATTTTTTCATATAGAAAACAACTTTGCTTTTGTTAATGGCAGAGGAGAGAAGATAAATCTGAGCTCCATGTACTTAAATGGCCAACAGCATTGTGGTGGTTTGAATGAAAATGGCCCCCATAGGCTCACATGGAGTGGCACTATTAGGAGGTGTGGCCCTGTTGGAGTAGGTGGTCTTGTTGGAGGAAGTGTGTCACTGGGGGTGGGCTTTGAGGTTTCAGAAGCTCAAGTCAGGCCCAGTGTCTCTCTTCCTGCTGTCTGTGGATCCAGATGTAGAACTCTCAGCTACTTCTCCAGCACCATGTCTGCCTACATGCCACCATGCTTCCTGTCATGATGATAATGGACTGAACCTCTGAACTGTAAGCCAGCCCCAATTAAATATTTCCTTTATAAGGGTTGCCATGGTCATGGTGTCTCTTCACAGCACTAGAAACCCTAACGAAGGCAAGCACAGGAACAAACTGTCAGGAAACTAATCTAGAGATTAATCTAGGGTTAGTGCTTGACCACATTCACATTCAGGTTCTTGGACATCACAGCAGGTACACATGCCATGAGGCCATGAGCTGTTTAGTGATGCCAACTTAGGACTCGAGTCTTTCTTGGACTGCCGTTCTGAGTGCTGCTATGCCTTGCTACATGGCTGGCTTATCATGAGGAGTTCATTCCAGCCTTCCCAGTAGTGAGCAGAGGAGTTGGGTGGCCAGCTCTTACCTCTGTGACTTTCTTCCGGTCAACCATGAAGTGATCACAGGAGTTGATGAGACTCAACAGAGCAACTGCATCACATTCCTCAGGTCCTCGTTTGTCTGCCAGTCCTCGAGGCATGAAGGCCTAGAGTAAGGGAGGCACCAGGTCACCTGAGTGGTCTCCAACTCTGAGGGCTAGAGAGGCAAAGTCTCTCCATTTCCCAACTGATGACTGATGTTCTCTTATTCCCTCAAGTTTCAAGCTAGAACCTCCTGAGTTCAAAATGCAAGCAGGGAAAGTCCTATCACGCTAAGCCTTAGCAAGGGCACTAACTGAAGGGCTGCACTATGCCTCTGTACTATTACATATAGCTCAGGTAACTGGCTTGTCTTTTGCTTTTGCTTTTTTGAGACAGGGTTTCTCTATATAGTCCTGGCTGTCCTGAAGTGCACTATGTAAATCAGAGTGGCCTCAAAGTCTCTGAGATCCGCCTGCCTCTGCCTACTGAGTGCTGGGATTAAAGGCGTGCGCCACCATGCCCAGCCTCCTGTCTTTTTTGTTATTTGAGACAAGTCTCACTATGCATCCCTGGCTGGCCTGGAACTAGCTATGTAGACCAGGCTAGTCTTGAATTCAGAGAGCTCCACCTCCCTGTCTCCCGAGTGCTGAAATGTAAGGTATGTACCACCAGCTCCCGCCCTGTCTTAGAGGTACAGATTAGAAAGAGAAATACTAGCCGGGTGGTGGTGGCGCACGCCTTTAATTCCAGCACTCTGGAGGCAGAGCCAGGTGGATCTCTGTGAGTTCGAGGCCAGCATGGGCTACCAAGTGAGCTCCAGGAAAGGCGCAAAGCTACACAGAGAAACCTATCTCGAAAAACCAAAAAAAAAAAAAAAAAAAAAAAGAAAGAAAGAGAAATACTTTTTTTCCACCCTTTTCCTTGGTGAAGCTGCAGTACCCGTGTCATGTCATTAAAGAAGACCAGGTAGTTCCTTAGTGACCTGAGAAACTTCTATCCATCACCATCAGAACCTGGAGTGTAACAGAACCAGCTTCAAATGCCAGCGAGGCCACTGCCTTATAGCCTTAGGCAAGTTATCTAATCCTCAGTCTCTGTCAGTCAAAAGGGGAAGTATCCTCATCCACATCAAAGGATGGTGTGCGGAGGAACTTAAGTGAACACAGGGAGAGAGAGCACCGTGCTGAGCACATGGTATAAAGACATCAGCAGCATCAGCAATTATGACGCCAATGGTGTGAGGTGAGTAGGTCCCACACAGGGGATAGACAAGGAGCTTCGGACTGAGACACCAGACACACTGGAAGGCTTCATAGCACCATCCTTCCTTTAGCTGAACCTTCTAAAATGAGTCACACAAATGCCGTGACAGCAACACTCAGAAGAGTAGGCAGGGGCAGGGTCACTGCCAGAGAGGGTAAGGGAAGGCAGGGGGGTTTAAAAACAAGTGGTCAGTTCAGAGTGGTGCAGGCCCCTAGAAGGAGAAACCATGAAGCCAGTAGCTGTAGTACATACCTGGAAAGCCAGTAGTTGAGAAGTAGAAGGAGGATCAAAGAGGCCAGCCTGGGCTACATAGCGAGACTCTATCTCAATCAATTCAGGGCGTGGGGGTGTAGCTCAGTGTTACTAGTGTTTTCTTAGCATGTGAAAGGTCTTGGGTTCCACTGCCAGCCTTGGAGGGAGGAGGGAGAGGGCTGAAGAAGGGAGGTCAAAGATGCAGTGTAGGGGCAGGGAGAGAAGCCAGGGCTGCATGAGTTGAAAACCATGTGGGAGCTGAAGAACAGACAGATACCAAATCCTCTTTTTGAGGAGGTTCTGCTAAGTAGATGTATGGAAGGCTGGTAGAGAAATGGGGAGACAGCTGGAAGGAATGGATTTAGAGGAACTCCTTCCCCCCTAAATTTTATTTTCTAAGTATTTTTCAAGTGGTTCTAAATACAGCTCCACTGGGCTATGATCTACCCCCTTGAAGTATGTAAGTTGGAGGTTGCCAGTCAGATAGTTTTTAGCACCACCCTCAAAGAAACCTCATAGCCATAAGCCATCATACCTCTTCCTCTAGGCCCTAGCAGCTTCTCAAACTATTTCTGCCTCTACAGATAGATGTGCCTATTCTGCACAATTCATGTGAATGGACTCACATGTTGTGTGACAGGTTTCAGGTTTCTTTCATTTAGCATGTTTTCAAGATTTATCCCTGCTCTACTTTGCATACTTTACTCCTTTTTTTTTTTTTAAATAACAACAAGTTATTCCACTGTCTGGACTCTTGTTAGCCATGTGTTGCCTGGAAGACCACTGGATTGTTTCTACCTTCTAGCTATTGTTTATAGTCCTGCCATGAACCCGTGTGTATATGTTTTTATTGTAGACATGTATTTTCAGATTTGGGGGTGTTCTGGTAGGGAGGGGGACTGAAATTAGAGGTTCACTCATGCTAAGCAACCCATAGCCCTGATTTTTCTTCTTTATCTTATGTATATACCTACAAATAGAACTGCTAGATTATAGAGTAATTCTGCTTAATCCTTTGGATTAGTTAGTTTTATGACAATTTGACATAAGCTGAAATCATCCGAAGGGGAGGAAACCAAATTAAAGAAGATGCCTCCATAAACTCTGACTGCAGGCAAGCCTGTAGGGTATTTTCTTAATTAGTGATTGATGGAGGAGGGCCCAGCCCATTGTGGGTGGAACCATCCATGGGCTGCTCCTGGGTTCTACAAGAAAGCAGGCTGAGCAAGCCATGGGGAGCAAGCTAGTAAGCAGCACCCCTCCATGGCCTGTGCATCAGCTCCTGCCTCCAGGTTCCTGCCCTGTTTGAGTTCCTGCCCTGACTTCTTTCAATAATGACCAGTGATGTGGAAGTGTAAGCCAAATCAACCCTGTCCTCCTAAGTTGCTTTTGGTCACAGTGTTTCATCACAGCAACAGTAACCTTAACTAAGACGACCCTTCTTTTTGAAAAATTAAATAATAGTAAAGCCATTTATATGGTAATGCGAATAAGCTGGGAAGCCAAAGAGTGGGCAGCTAAAGATGAAAGACCTTGTGCGGATGGGAGGGGAGGAGCTCCAACACACAAGGGAGGGAAGGACCAGCGGAGAGAGACACATAGAGATGCAGAACTGTAGGTTCAAGGGAAAGACAAGTCTGTGCTTGGGGCACCCATCACGTCATGAAGCGGAAGCAAGGCTAGCAGCTGGAATGAAGAAGGGGAGTGGGAGGAAGAGCTTGGTGAGGGAAGGCACGAATAGATAGCTCTAGGAACAGAAGCCCACAGAGAGGCCTGCCTGAAGCACTGGGGCTCAGGGTCAAGAGCAAAGGAAACCAGCGAGTTCCCATCAGAGATTCTTCTCTCAAGTAGGAGCCGATGATGCTGTCGTTTGGGCCCGAGTTGGGCCAGGCACATTCAGAGGAAGAAAACAATGACGATAACTGCAAAGGAGTTATCACAATGATGGGCAGCGAGCACGAGGCCACTGTGGCAAAGGCAAACAGAAGGAGAAGACTATCAGGACTGAGAAGCAGTGGGAGACAAAGAGCAGGGAGTGTTTGAGTAAGAATGGCAAAAGCAAGCCCAAGTTCGACACCTTAAGAACCTGCTGTGTGGACAGGGATGGGGTGCTAAGTCAGGAACCGAGACCATGGCCTTAGAGAGGGAAGGTACACACGAAGGTGAGCTAAGTGGTCTTCAGGTGGTCAGCACGCATAGGGAGGAAAGTCTGGCAAAGAGCAGGTGGCACAGGCTTCAGAAGGACTCCAAAGCTATGAGAGCCATAAGAGAGACCGAACAGGTCTAAGCCAGTCGCTACAAAGGGGAGAGTTTTACTTCTTTCAGGTGTTTTTCCCAGTATGCTCTAGGTAAAGGTAGAAATTGGAAACACTACTGCAGCAATACAAAAATGGTGGTGGTGGTGGATGGGACTCAGTGGTTAAGTGGACTTTCTGTTCTTCTAGAGGACTGGAGTTTGGTTCCACTCACCCATGTTGGGAGACTCACAACCACCTGTTACTACAGCTCCAGTGGATCCAACTCCCTCTTCTGGCTCTAGTGAGCACCAGAACACAGGTGGCATGCACTCACACATTAACATGATAAAAACTTTTCTTCATTTTTTCAGACAGGGTCTCTCTGTGTAGATTAGCCATGTAGACCATGCTGGCCTTAAACTCAAGAGATCTGTCTGCCTCTACTTCCCAAGTGCTGGGATATCAGGTAGGCACCACCAATTCCAGCCCAATAGAAACTTATTTTTAAAGTTTTATTTCTGTGCACTCATGTTTTGCCTGCATGTATGTCTGTGTGAGGGTGTTGAGTAACCTGGAACTGGAGTTATAGACAGTTGTGAGCTGCCATGTGGATGCTGGGAATTGAACCCAGGTCCTCTGGAAGAGCAGCCACTGCTTGTAACTGTTGAGCCATCTCTCTAGCCCCCATTAGAAACTTTCTAATCTTTTTTTAAAAAAGACTGCTGGTATAGTGGTACATATCTGTAATCCTGGCACTTGGGAGATGGAAGCAGGATGGTTAGGAGTTCAAGGCCAGCCTGAATTACATGAGCTTTTGTCTTAACAAGCCAGATAAAGACCGGGAGAGAACAGAGGTAGACCCAACATGTTAACTGCAGCCCAGGCAATGCTCTCTTCCTGCCACTTGTGTGCTTGCCCATACACTAACTCAGTCAATTTGCGTTAGGAAGCTACTTCTCACCTGTCTCTCCATTACTGAGCTTCCAGGAAACATCAAGAAATAAAAACAAATTCCCAATCAGTCCAGGTAGTAAGTCACAGTGCCAAAATCTAAAGACAGGCCTAACAACCTCTACCTCATAACTCACCACATTTCTACCTTCTAAAATTGTATACCTTAGCTAGGCACTCCCCGGCCAAAACGAGCCTTTTAGTGAGCCTACCTTAAGGCATATCTTATCTGTTCTTCCACGTCCTCCAGTCGGTATCTTTTTCCCTTTCTTTTGAGACAAAGTCTTAAACTATATAGCCCAGGATATCGCCAAACTCACAGCAACCCTGCCTCGGCCTCTCCAGTGGTGGAATTATAGGCGTGAGCACTTGGTTTCACTATCCGTCTTGTCCCAGCATCTCTTTTTGAAATCTTTACTATAGCTTCCAAGAAGCAAAGCTCAAATGCCTGCAGGAAGCAAAGAGATAAAAGCTTCTATTTACTGAGCTGGGATGGGTCCACTTTAACAGCCTTTAACTACTAGAACACTAGGCCAACCAATCTCTCAGTACCTGTGGTTTCTGAAGTCCCTACTTGCACTCACACCCACCCTCCGCCCCAGGGCACCAGGTGACCTGCCTTCTGCTTACCTTGGCTACCTCCCAAGCGTCCACCGGCCAGAGGTCAGGCCGGCAATTTCCCCAGTGCACGTCTCCATTTCTGTTAACGTGATGCCTCAAGATCTCGCGTTTCCACTCTGTGCACACTTGACACTGAGGCTGAAACTACAGGAGGCAGAGGTGAGGCGGGACCCGGATGCGCGCGGGGCGGCGAAATAAGTACACCCTAAAAGCCATAAGCAGCCCCGCCCCTCAAAGGAAAAAGACACCAAGCACGGGGAACTGGGGACAGGCTGTGGATGTGTCCCAGCACCGGGTGAGCAGCTTACCTGGCGAGCGCGCGGGCTGCACCGGGAGCCGCCGCGGCAGGTGGCGTGGGGACCAAGGCCGGGAAGTGCAGCGAGCAGTCCGCGATGGAAGGAGAGCACCTCGCGGCCGACGAAACCCTGCAGGCAGCTGCGCAGCAGCAGCAGGCAATGTCCTGCCTTCACCCAGTTTTTGTACTCAGTGCAATTGAGGCGCGCCGCCAGCTCTGACAACACCATGTCTCACGCCCGGGCTGTGAAAGGCGCGCGCGGGGCTGGTGGTGGTGGTGGTGGTGGTGTGATGGGGGGGGAGGGGCGGCAGCGGCAGTACGCACGCGCGGGATCCTGGGAAGCTTCCTCGGCGCAAGCCTCGGCGAAGCTTCCACGCAGCGCAGGCGCAGCCCCACCCAGAAGCCACCCCTAACGCTTAGCGTCGTCACTCGTGACAGAGGCTAGAGGCGGGCCATTCTTCCACGTCCGGGAAGCCGCAGCTCCACAGCTTAAAGGAACCGCCTAAGGTTTGTAGACTTGAAACATTCAGATGCAGCTTCTCTGATTAAAGCCCTTGGGCTTTAATTCTCATTTCCCCAAATACCCTGCTAACCCCTCTGATTAAAGCCCTTGGGCTTTAATTCTCATTTCCCCAAATACCCTGCTAACCCTCTAACCAACCGGATGTGCGGACTCCCATTTTGACTCCTTAATTGTAAAGATGGAGTAGTGCTCAAGGCACGTTTCTTGAATGACATGTTCCTTGCATCATGCACTTCTAGAAAATGAAGTCGTTCCTAAAGCTACCGAATAACCGCAGCGAATCCCGGACATCAGTAGAACAGTCTCTGCGTGAAGCGCGGGTCTGTTGTGTTGTGTGCCCCCAGCATGTGCTACGCTGACGCTAGGGCCAGAATCTCCATAACTGGAGCACCTGGCAGAGACAAGGGATAATGTGGTTCCCGGATTTGGAGGAAGGGCTGCACAGCCACAAGCTGAACCCTCCAGAAAACGTACACCACAGTTGTTTCAGCTGTCAGAATGCATTAGACTGCCAATGTGAAGTGAGAAAGTCATTGTTTTAGATGCTTTCAGTGAGTTTCTTTAGCTTGGAAAACATGGTGAAATTGTGTGTAATCAAAAGACCCTGAATGAAGGCTGTAAACACAGAAGCCTTCACAAGACTGCATGGTTCACAGCATAGGCAGTGTTAAGGTGCACTAGCTCTGGGTTCAAACTACCAATTTTTTTGTGGTTTGATCTTGGCTGATCCTAATTTTAATCCTAATTAATGACTTGACTTCTTTGTGGCTCTGTTTATCATCTGTAAGAGGAGGTTATTAATACTTACCTCACAGTGTGGTAAGGGGCATTTGTACACATGGAAACACTTAGAATGAATGGTGCCTGGCATACAGTATGTTCTCAGTAAATGCTAGCTCTCATTTTATATTGACCTAAATATGCCCTTTCACCCATCAGCTACATTATTAGACAAAGAATTATGTCAAATCACTAGCCAGTGGGAGTGGGGACAAGTTATGAAACCAGATCAGACCTGGTGATCTGGAGACTCAAAGTACAGTGCAGGCAGGCGTCTCATAATTTGGTCTTACTAACCTCAATATTAAATCCATCCAAAGCAAATCCAAATACCCCATTCCCATCAAAGCAAATGAAAAATTCCACAAAACCCAAATGAAATCTACATTAACATTTTCCCTTTTCTCACTTTTCATCATAAGTTTTCTTAAAATGTTTAAAAGTAGGGGTGGTGGGACACGCTTGTCTTCCCAGTACTCAGAAGTGGATCACTTGGACCTACGAGGTTCAAGGCCAGCCTGAGCAACATGGAAAAACCCTGTCTGGTTTTAAAAAAAAAAAAGAAGAAGAAGAAGAAAAAGAAAAAATGTAACTGGTATTTCTTTGGGAAGAAAAAAAACATGGCAAATAAAATTTTATTTCTACCCTTAACTCAGCTAATCTTCAAACAAGGTTCAGTTCCTGCTATAAATAACTGGCTGTACGCTGAGGAAGTTCTCACTTTCCTCCTAACCCTGAAAGTCCTTCTATACATTTCTAAATGACATCTCTGCAGACGTAAAGGGAAAAGGTGACTCAGGACCAATGTCTTCTTGCAGGGTTAAACTAATGCTAAACCAAGACTACAACCCAAAACATCTTCACCAAAATTAACTAGAGAGTTGGTAGTTCTCTGAAACTTGTATAAATTTTATTTATTACTGTAAATACTAAAATCACATTGAAAACACCTTAAAATCAAGTTCCAAACCACCTACTAGAGAAAAATCACTATGGCATCCAGTTTCTTTGATTGAACCTGGTTAACAAAAGAGGCAAAAGACATGGTTTGTGATGAAAGTTACGATTCAAATGCTAAGTATTTCCAAGCTTTAATAAAGTATATACCAATTCCAAGTACCAAGCATGATATCAAAATTCAAATTCATTGGTTTACTCTTAATAAGCATCAAAATCAAATTCTGTTCATTGAATCCTATCTTACTTGATTTACACAATGCATTCAAAGGTTAGTTATAATTAGGAAAAAGTACCCATTGAATGCATCATGTATAAAAATGCAATTAACATTTCAAAACCACACTTAAAAGAGAAAATACCTGAAAAGTTAATTCTATTAATAAAATTATTTGAAACAATATCATCCTGCAGATAAAAATACATTTCTTATATATACATGTAGATTTCTACATGAAAGATAGGATTCAGCTCCTAATAGAAAAGGGCTGACTCCTGATCAAGACATCTTAGATTGCCAAACCCATGTGATTACCACTGTGAAGAGAACTGAAAACAGGAGGAGAAAAGGGGTAGGTTAAAGAAGAATAAAAGTTTAGTCACCTACTCTGGAATAGCGGCAGAGTTGGGTGAAAAGCAGGAGATGAAGGCAGAAAGGAGACACAGAAGACAGAAGCCCTCAACTCTGACTGGAAATGGAGATTCAAGCAAAGTTGAGAACATATGATACAGTTGCAGTGAGATGCTTAAAACTAGAATCTGGTGGTTATAGTTATAGAAGCTCAAATAATCATGTTAAAATGGAATCAGACAAACATCTAAAATTTCATCGAGGACCATATTACATTGACTAGATAACTCAGCATGATATTATCATTAAAAAAAAAATAAAACAACAAAAAAAAACTGCTCCAAATCACATCAAGTCATCAGAAGACATTTGAATCAGATCATATTCATCGAAGCTTAAAAAGACCCTGACTGGCTGCAAGAGACAGTACAGTACTCTAGAGAGAAATCCTATTGAGAGGTACCAGTGCCAGAAACTCCACTGGACCCTACACAGGCCCTGCACTGTGGACTTTTCAAATGACTGGACCAGGTTGTGTCCAGCAAAAACATCCTATTGTTTTGCTGACAATGAATTAAATTGAGATTGTTTAGAACAACCGCAATTGTGCTGGGGAAGGTAAGAAGTTAAATAAGATAAAAGAAATGTCACCAAAACTTCATGCAAACTAGAGCATTCAAGTTCTTTGCTTCCTAGTTAATGCTGTGTGCAGAAGTATCCTTTCAATGACATTTTCCTAGCAAAAAGGTTCCCATTTCCTCACACATGAGAATAATTGCATTATTTGGGATCCTTGATCACTATATATCACTTACAGTCTCTTTTCAAAGACAAAGTTCTCTTATTTTACACAAATCCTATACTGAAAAAACAACCGAGGTGCTAAATGTTATCACCAGTCATGTTAGGAATGTCTGAAGAATTACATTAACCTTAAAACAAAAATGTTTTTGGTCAAATTTCAGACATACATAATTAAAAACTGACTGGCCCCACCAGGGTGAAGATGAAGGGAGGCCCTAATAACTCTAGAGAGCTTATACACACACAAGTGAGTGTCACTTTTATATCCTAGTTTTATTAAATATTGCTTCTTTGGGATGTGTTTAACAGCTCCCAAAACATTTCTGTGTAAGGATTCAAAGCGGTCAATAGTAAAATACAGCTTCAATATAAAGTTTGTCACAGTTTACAGTATTCAAAAATGACAGACCTGCCTTTAAAAAAAAAAAAATCAAAAAAGACCATTACATCCAAAACATAAGAAAACAATTAAATAAACAAGTTTGGCATTTTCATTACTTTATAGTATAAAACAGAATATTAAATCTAGTACTGGCAAGCAGACACTGATCTGTTACCTAATTTGAAATGTGTCGCATTTAAACACACTATACAAGTTCACTATACAAAAGATTGATGATGGTCTTTTTGATGAAAGAAGTGCACCCTGAAAAGTTTTGCCAGTTTAGAATATTTAGCTCTTAAGGTTTAAAAAAAAAAAGTCTTTTTCCTTTTTAAAACTGATGGCTGAATTCAGCCTTTTTGTGTGTGTGTTGTTTTTTCATTTGTCAGCCTTCCTGGTTTAAAAACAATAGTGTCTATGGACGCCCACCAGGGGGCAGTGTAAGATTAGCCATTAAATCACGAACAGCTGCAAATATTGTGCATTCACCTGCAACAGAGAAAAATGGTCATTAGCTATTCGCAGTACAGGACAGACGTTAACACACCGGTGAGGGGAGGGTTGATTAAAACCAGTCACGGATTTGAAATAAAAGACTAAGTATTTCAAACTATTCAGATTTTAGGCGATGACATCTGATGTGGAATAGCATATTATATTTGGGTTGGGTTTTGTTTTTGTCTCCGGAAGAAATCTGGGGCAAGTGTCAAGTTTAAATAGAGAGAAAGAGAGAGATGCCTTCAGTGCATAGAAACAGTGCCGCGTTGGATAAGACTTTAAAAGTCTGACTTTAGAGTTGAACACTATAGAATGCTTATGCGGTTTGGATCTAATGACAAGTTCTAAATTATATTCATGCATTGCTTACAACTTCGGTGATGTCCTGCTAATGAGAGGCCAGATAACAATGCCTCCAATAGGTAATGGGAATACCGTCCAACAGAATGTTCTGTGACAATGGGAACGTGTGTGCTCTGTGGTTACCAAGTACTACTTTGGCTATGAAACTGAACATTTTCATTTTCTAAAGTTATACATTAATTGACTGAAGTCAATAAAATACAGAAATAAAGTGTTTTATTTTGTTAAAGGGAGAAAAGCTTTATTTACACTTTACAGTTATTTTTTTCCCCTTTTCTTTCCTTTTTGGTTGCCATGAGACAACAGTCCCACTATGTAACCCAGACTGGTTTGGAACTCACAATCCTCCTGCTTCAGCTTCCAAGTGCTGAGATTATAGGTGTAAACCAACGAACCAAGCTAGGATTTTCCTTCAAAGCTCTTCACTGTGAGATGGGCAAGGAAGCCTAAGTATTACACACCAAGAATCTAAACATTAGATTTGTGGAGGCACCTCTGATAACACCTCATCTGCTCAACTTCCCCTCTGCCCCTTAGTTCTTGTAATATTAGAAAGCACGACAACACGTTTGGACACTAGCACAGCTGCAAGGGGGAGAACTGAGGCCTTGTGTGAATTACAGCCTTCGGTCAAAGGGCAGCATAGAGTGAGTGACTCCGTGCAAGTCACTGAGAGCCTTTGCTCCAAGCACTAGAAAACGAAGGTACAGAACAAAAGGACAAAGAAAATCCAAAGGTTTGTCCAGCCAAAGGAAAAAAAGAAAGCACTCCCACAATACCTTACCAATTTCTTAAAGAACTGAGGAAGGTGTGTGCGCGCGAGTGTGTGTGCATGCATGCGTGTGTGCGCGCGCACAGGCACATGCATACACACTTCTTTGACACTTTCATTGATAGGTAGAAAAATTTGCTTGATCATAGTAGGATCAAAACATTTCCCTTATAATTTTTAAATTCCAGAAGATATAATACATAAAAAAATACACGATAATAGTCATGTCTATATGAAGGAATTGTGTTTATCAGCAGATTTCTATTGGATTGCTACTTTGAGAATTCTGGTAGCTTTAAATTTTGATGCCTGAGGCCTTATTTTCAGCTGAATAGAGAGGTCAAAGAATGAAGCAGAGAACTGCCAGAAGTAAAAGTATTACAACAAACGAAGCACACTGCTCTCTACTGCCCAGTGTATTCCGTAGAAACCGAAGCAAGAACTTACCTAGGTGTGATGTGGGGAACAAACAGCTAAAAAAAACCTCATTTTCCTCAGGATTCCTAAAACTTTTGACACTGTGATACCTAAAAATGTTTCAGAGAACAGCTTTTTCCTCATTCACCATAATTGTGTTTGCAAGCTATTCTAAAGAAAAGGATAAAGAGGACTTCCTTAGCATTAGACATGAGTGAACATCCATTTAAATTTCCTAAGTATTAGAAACGAGCAAAATCAAAGAAAAGTTCTCTTTGCTGAGCTTCATGTTTTAGAACCCCAATTTGGCATTACCAGGAGTCACATGTTAAGTGTGGGCTACTCCAGTATCGAAGCAGCCTTATTTCTCTTTCAAGAAACATTCTGGTTTCTTCGGAAATGTCCAGTCTCAGAGCTTCACTGTGCACTCAGGGAGAAGGCTCACTTGCACCCACCTGACACTTACATAAGAAGCCCAAAAAGCAGTGATGCCATTTGTATCAGCTTTTATTCTTCACAAAACATTTAGAAGATACACAACTTTTAATAATAGTATTCTATTCATGATCGAACCATGAAGTATGAGAAACCAACATGCATTTCAACTTTGTGATGTACAGAGTGGCAGGTATTGATGGCAAGGCAGGAATTCACAGCCACGGAAAATCTATCATCCTAACCTAGGGCTTTGTGGCAATGTGTGCTATAAATACAAGCTTCTGGCATTAGCAACCGGCTCAGTCCCAATAGTAACTGCTAACAAAAATGGAGTCCAGGCAGCAGAGAAATGGACAAAACTGAAGAACCAGTGAGAAAGAAAGAAAGAAAGCGACAAGCAGACACTAAGAGGGCCATGGCGACAGAGCGCTAGTACTAGGATTGGGATGCAGAGTAGGGAAGGCGGGGGAAGAGGAGGGAAAGGAGGGAGGTCTCTCTCAAAGGGGGTTTTATAACATATATGCAATAAAATACCATCTACTGCTCATGTACCTTGT